GTGTGTGTGTGTGCTCGAGTGTTAGAGTGATGCGTGTGGGATATCCAGGGTGATCCAGTGTATGTGAACAGTGAGATGTTTGGGCGCTGAAGTCGCCATAGCCAATTGAGAGTGAACTCGTATCTGAAAGCCATATCTCTGAGTTTTGAGTGGGCGCATGTCGCCAGTATGCTGCGTTGCTGTTTACATGCATGAAAAGTATGTTTGAGAACGAGTCTGATTGCATAAATAAATAAGAAAGAATAATGAATAATAATTAATCATCAATCAATAAAGTTAATATAACGAATTTTAAATTGTCGGTAGATTAGGTGTCTGTTGAGATCACCTATGGTCTCGGAGTTCACCGTTGTTAGTGAACTTCCCGGAAGTTGCAGTTTTGAGGTAAACAATTCCGAACAGTCTGACAAACGAAAAGAAAATTCGGACAATTAGGAAACGGAAAAACACTCGAATTTCGAAAAAACGTGCATTTTCGGGAATTTCAACCTAAAATAGTTCGATTTTCAGAAGGCCGAAGTCCGCATTCCGAAATTCAACAATTAGTGAAAAGAAAAAAATTCGCGAAAATTTCGAACCTCAACCCTAATTTTCCGCGATTTTCGCGGAAATTCCGGTTTATGGTTCCAGAAAATGCGAATCTTCCCCTAATGCGGAAAACCAAAATTATCGCAACCCTAATTCAATACCGAAAAATATAAGACCGAATTAAAAATAGAGTTTTGCAACTTGAATCTTCGATAGCAATGCAGAACTAATTCGGAAACAGACAATGCTAATTAGGCAATCGATTTCCTAATCAGAATTACCCTGTGAGCAGATCCACTTAATTGGTCTGCTCCGATACCAAACTGTTGCATACTAGTGAATACTTCACCAAGCACGACCAGAACCAAAGATCAACCAATATAGGATGAGCATGTATACAGCGGAAGTCTGAGAAATGGACTGACTCACATACACTAAACTCACCCAAACATCACTCAACACATAAGCAATAGTGAGATGGAGGGGGTCTGAAGACCATACATGGACGATGATTCAGGCCCCGTACAATCATACACAGATGAATGGTGGGAGGAGAGACGATGGAGGTGGGAGATATGGACAGCGCCAGATGTCACCGAGATAGAATCCAGAAGGTCGCCGATATGGTAGCCCAAAATGTCACCGAACAAAATCAGAACGTCGTGGACATAAGTCAGCAATGTCCGAGGTACGGAATCCTAATGTGCCGCTTCCCGAAAGATGCCTGGAAAGGCCGCTGGACCGGCCTGAGTACCGGCCGGCGGCCGGTTGGCCTCAATGCTGCCTCAGCGTGCCGTGATCTGAATCGTCAAGATTGATGATTCAGATCAGACCGGCGAGCGGCAGGCTCAAGGGCGCCGCCAGGCCCAATGGTAATGTCATTTGGGCCTATACCAGGTCTGCTGCAGGAAAACCAACCGGTGGCCTCAATGCGGCCCACCGGGAGAAAGGTCCGGCCTTTGGCTGGGCAGGCCTAAGTACCCCTTGGTCTAGTGGTCGAGTTTGAAAGGGACCCGTGTGGCATGACTATGTAACAGCCTCAGTGTCCAGAAAGCAGCATTGCCCCAATATTACACCAATGGAGAATCGAAACACTGAACCCCAATTTCAATGAGAGCTTACTCTCGCCATCACCAACACAAGTGTCCAGGCCCTTCCCCGTACTTGGCGCTCGGCGCCCAGACTACTCCCCACACAGCTACTATCTGCCTACGAATTGACAATGCAACTGTTGACGTCAGCAGCCACCGAAGTACATGAAGACGTCGCCCAATGCCAATACCAGGTATGAGCCCTCACATCGTCATCCTCATCTCTACTTCTCTATCTCTCTCCCTCGTCTTTCTTCCTCGTCTTCCTTCTTTACACCCGAAGACCACCACTACGCCTTGCTGTAACACCAAGCCTCAACCAGCTATGGAGGCTGGGCTATGGCGCTGCGCTCAGCAGCACCCTTCCTTCTTCACGACCACACATGCGCTGCACCATGCTCTGCGCTAGCAGTAGCCCACGAGCACTCGCTACAGCAGCGCTGCCGCAAACTAGCATGTGCCCGAATGCCCTGCCAGGCAGCGAGTTCTTTCCTATATGGAAAGAGTCTGGCCTGGTCTGCGGCCTGGCTGGACTGGGCCTGCGCCCAGAAGCTTCCGGTAGGCCCCAGGTAGCTGGGCCTCTGCTGCTGCTGCTGGGCCTCGTTTGGTTGCGCCCTCCAACTGTCTGTGTATATTGCTGCGAATGTGGGCCAGGGCCTGCTTTTCAGAAAAGGCCTAGAAGACCGTGGAAAGTGTTTGCTGCTCGGGACCTGGGTTCCCTCAACCAACTGACGCGGCCGAACACGAAATTGACAGCATTGGACCTCTCGTGATTTGCTAGGCCCGCCTTCACTTAGCGGGGGCATACTGGTATAAGGGGCCCCTTAGGCCTGCCGAGGAGCCAATTCCTCGCACATCTGGATTTTAATCCGGATTATTATTATTGTTAATTCGGAATTAACTGGACTTGCAATTTTTATTTCTGCAGTCTCAAATTATTCTTTATCATCACTATACCATTTGCAGTGATGAGAACAAAAGGGCTGCTCGCAGCGCCTCAGGGGGAACTAAGGGTGACGCCTGTGCGACTGGGTGTACCGTAAAGGTCTCCCGGTGCGGGATGCTCTTAGCCATTGCCCCTGGGATGAGATGGGTTGGTACCTCCGCTCTTGAGCTGAAATGCCAACTGCCCTACCTCGAACACGTACAATTTTTTTCTTAAAAAATAAAAAAAATAGAAAAAAAATCGAAATTTCAATTTTCAAATTTCATTTTTTTTTTTTTCGGATTTCTGTTACTGGGGGATTGGGAGCCCTGCCGAACTTGCAATTTCGATTGTTTTTGTTTTTTTTGAAATTATTATCATTCAGCAAAAGTTTGAACTTTTCAATTTGATTATTAGTGGCTCCTTATCTGGGTGATCAGTGTTCCCACCCAACCCATCCCTCCTGTCACACCTCTACTTCCCTTCCTCTCGCCTATCCTCGCCTGCGGCATTGGTAAGTCGCCACATCAGCAGGTCATGTCAGTACATGGTGCTCACCCACTCACAAGCAAGCGGCATGGAGCAGCAGACTGGAGAGACACTCGAGGCCTCTGAGGCCCGCATGCTGACCATGGTGGAGGATTTCAATCAACGGGCAGAGGCGGCCACAGCCGCACGAAAGAAGAGGGGCGCGGAGGCCGAGGAACAACATCGCCTTGCTGGGCAGCAGCGACAGGAGGACGCCGAAGCATCAAGGAAGGCCGCAGACGACCACCTTCGACTATGCTGGGACAAACTCCTCGAATCTGAGGGGGACCTCGAGGTGGTTGCCAGTGAATGGGCAGTGGCTGGCGAAGAGGAGGACGCCCCCGCTGCTGTGCGCGCCCTTGCAACCGCAATTGAACATGTGGTCGACTCGGTCGCCACCTGCACAGCGCAGCAGGCGGACATCTTCTGCGTGGACACCCTGGTCAGGAAGCAGGCTCAGCTCATCACCAACCTGCTTGGGTCGAGTACGCCGGCTGGAACAGCAGCCTGCAGCTGCCACCATCGCCAGACCTTCAACTGGGCGGATCGCGTCAACGTCTTGGAAGTTGACGTCACATCGCTCAAGGACGGCGCTCTAGCGACAAATCAGCAGATTGACCAGCAGATTTGCGCCACCGCAGCCAGTCCTATCACGACTACTCGCGAGAGCATCCCAAAGTTTGACGGCATACCGATCTTCTGCGATGCACTTCGCAGAAGACGGACCCGATCCCATGGTGGCGCCAGTTCGAATTGAAGCTGGACATCCACAAAGTCAGCAACGCTAACTGCCACGCACACTTATACTCCCGATCGCGGGGCGCGTGCCAAGCATGGCTGGACAATATGTTGTCCACGCACACCGTCCCAGTCTCCGAGCTGCATACGCAGATCAGTTGGCCAGTTCTCAAAGCAGCATGGCACAAGCGGTTCCAAGTGGAGCCGCCCGAACTTCAGGCAGCGGAAAAACTTCACAAGTTCTATCAGAACACGCTGCCGAGCGTGGACTGGTTAACCAAGTACCAACGCTTAGCATCCATGCCCAACTTACCGACGACCTTTATAGGCATCAGACACTTCTTCCTCACGAGGAGCTGTCCGGCATTGCAGACGCAAGTTGCGAAGACGCTCACCACAAGTGAGCAGCTGTTTGATAAAGCCTTGCAGATCATCGTGACAAACACCGAAGCCAAGAATTTGGGTCGTTCATCTGCTGCGAGTCAGGGCAGAGATCAGCACCAGCCGAAAGTGGCCGTAGTCGCGGCAACTACACCGACCAACCCTTCAAAAGAGATTGCCTCTTCTGATGAAGGAGACAGATTGGCAGCCGCTCGGGATGGTGGCCGCACCGCCAAAGGGCAAGGGCGTGGCAAACCGAAGACACACACCACTTCATCCCCCGGGACCGGGCTAGCAGCTCAAGAGCCTTGGACACATTACGGTATCTCGGAAGGCGTTTACCACATCCGTACTAAGTACCGATACTATCTGTGGTGCAACAGCCCAAAGCACGACACCGCAAAGTGCCCCACGCAAGTCAAAGGCAAATTCCCTTCGGGAAAGTGAGCACCGCTGAGAGTGATGTGGCTGCACTCTCGACACCTTCGAAACCGGTTGCTTCGCGAGCGACCTCTCTTCATTCTGAGGCACATGTGGAAGTCGACAGTCCTCTCTTATATTCTCAAGCTCAAGGACAAGATGTGTGTGCGGTTTCTTCTCCGTTCGGAAGCAGCGACAGTTTATCGTCTTCAAGTGGTTCTTCAAGAAATTCAACGCACGAGTTCAACATAGAGGTCTTGGACCTGTTGACGTCCGAGGATTTTGCATGGCTTCCTCTCCCTTCCACAGGCTGCTTACCGGGACCGCAATGCGCAGCATTATGCGCCCATCTCCACACATACTTAGCCTTCTATGCACCACCACCTTTGCCGACAGATGACGAAGTTGCGGTGGGGGACATCCTTGCGTATGTTAGCAAGGTGGCCCGCGAGTTTCGCAAGCAACGCTACGATGATAACAATGCTCCGCTCCTTTATGTCCGCATCCAAGTTGGGCAAGCGTCCTGCAATGCTTTGCTGGATAGCGGTGCGACTCGCGATTTCATCAGCCAGTCCTTTATCCAAAGGGTCGGCCTTGGCGCATAAGTTCGAAGGAAGCCAAGCCCGACGGCGATCAAGTTGGCAGACGGTCGGACGCAACAACTCCTCAATCGCTACATCGAAGTCGTACCAGTTATTTCACACCTCATGCTCGCAAACCGACGACGTTTGACGTCTTGGACGCGGACTTCGACATCATTTTGGGGATGCCTTGGCTTGCAAGTGCGGATCACACGGTTAACTTCCATCGACGGACACTTACCGTTCACGACGCCTTCGGCACTGAGGTGTTGTGTACCATTCCTCTTTCGCACCCTTCAATCCGGTGCAAGTTGTAACGACCAAGTCTTTTCGGGCCACTTGCGCTTACGATCGGACCGACGAGACATGCCTATGTTTTCTACGGACCGTCGTGGTGACCGACTTTTCATCTACGGACTTGTCTTCGGAACCCCGAGTGGTTAGGTTACTCGATGAGTACACCGACATCTTTCAATCTCCTACCGGTGTGGTGCCGGATTGGCCGATCTCCCATGAGATCATTCTTGAGGCCAGTGTCGTGTCACGGAAAGGATGCATCTATCGCATGAGCGAGGAAGAGCTTGCAGTTCTTCGCGTGCAACTCGATGATCTGTTGGACAAAGGTTGGCTCCGCCCTAGTAGCTCACCATACGGTGCGGCAGTTCTCTTCGTGCGGAAGAAGAACAAGGATCTTCGCTTGTGCATCGACTACCGCAAGCTCAACGCACAAACCGTCAAAAATGCAGGACCTCTTCCGCGCATTGACGACCTTCTCGAGCGTTTGGGCGGTGCAATTTTTTTTTCGAAGTTGGACTTGAAGTCGGGCTATCATCAGATCTCGATATGCTCGCAAGATCACTACAAATCCGCGTTCAAGATGTGGTACGGGCATTTTGAGTGGGTTGTTGTGCCCTTTGGCCCCACCAATGCCCTGACGACTTTTCAAGCAGCGATGACCAACGAGTTTCGTGCAATGCTGGACTGGTTTGTGCTGGTCTACTTGCACGACATTCTTGTCTACAGTTGGACCTTGAAGGAACATCTCGAGCACCTTCGACATGTGTTGGAGAAGCTTCGTCGCGCCAACTACAAACCCAACCGTGACAAGTGCGAATTCGTGCATCAAGAGTTGAAGTACTTGGGCCTTTGTCACAAGGCATCAATCCGTTGTCGGACAAGATCCAAGCCATCCAAGAGTGGTCGGAGCCGAAGAACGTCACGAATGATCATTCCTTCCTTGGCTTAGCCGTTTACTATCAACGCTTCATCAAGGGATACTTGAAGATCGCGGCCCATTTATCCAAAGCTTCAATGCGAGGACCGGCCATTTGACTTCGACGACAATCCGCGGGCTTCCTTTTTGGCCCTCAAAGCCGCATTGCTATCCGCGAAGGTGTTGCACATCTACGATCCACTTTTGCCGACACGCGTCACTACAGATGCGTCCGACTATGGCATTGGTGTCGTCCTTGAGCAACATGATGGCGTGGACTGGCACCCGATCGAGTACTTTAGCAAGAAAGTGCCCGCCGTGCACTCGATTGCCGACGCATGGAAGAAGGAATTATTGGCCTTCGTACACACGCTCAAGCGCTGGCGACATTTTCTTCTCAATCGGCGGCAATTCTGATAGGTAACGGATAACATTCCGTTGGCCTTCTACAAGACCCAAGACACTGTCAATAGCACCATTGCCCGTTGGATGACCTTTATCGACCAGTTTGATTTCTTCCCCGACCACATTCCGAGCAAGTCAAACCGTTTTGCGGACGCTCTTTCGCGGCGTCCGGACCATTGTACCGCAGTCTACTCGACTTTTAAGATGGAGGACGACTTGCGGGACAGCTTCATCCGCAGCTACCAAGCCGACCTCGAGTTTCACGACAAGTACGCGAATTGTTCCTCTCCCAATCCGGCACCATCGCACTATCGGATACAAGAGGGATATTTGCTCGTCCACTCGTGGGGGAAGAATCTTCTTTGTGTGTCGCGAGATTCACACTTGCGCACGCGGCTTCTTGGCGAGTTCCATGACGCTCCCGCCACCAGACATTTTAAAGTCAAGCGTACGATTGGCCAGCTTCGCGAGTGCTTTTGGTGGCCCGGTCTTCTCAACGACGTCACACGCTATTGCGAGTCATGCGAGGTGTGCCGACGTTGCAAATCCTGCAATCATCGTCCGTACGGCGAGTTGCAACCATTATCGGTCCCCTTGTGGCGAAGGGAAACGATTGCCATGGACAATACCGGGCTGTTCCCCAAGCACAAGACTGGTGTGGATGGGATCCTCACAGTGGTCGACCGACTCGCCAAGTTTGCCATGTTTTTGCCTTGCCGCTATCATGCCAAGGCATCAGAGTTAGCCGAGGTTCTTTATACTGGTTGGATCCAAGGGTTACCCCAAGGAAATCGTTTGCGACCGCGACATTCGGTTCATGTCCGATTTTTGGTTGGCGCTTGTCTCTCAAGCCGAGTTCGGCTCGCCACCCCCATCAGACCGCACGGGTCCTACTTCGCACTCTCATCCATCCCGACCAAAAGGATTGGGTTGAGCAGCTGTCGGACATCGAGTTGGCATACAACTCGTTTATTCATCCGGCTATCGGGATGTTGCCCTTCGAGTTCATGGCTCGCCGGTCACGTCTCCATTGGACACGATTATCCCACGGGCGGCCAAGAGCGACGACCATCTTCTCTTCATTCGTCGGATGCAAGAGCTTCTTGTCAAGGCACGCGACCAGATGTCGAAGACGCAGCACCGCATGCGCCAACAGGCCAACCAACAACGTCTTCCTTGTCCGATCCACGCCGGCGACCTCATATGGGTCTCCACCGCGGAGTTCAGCCTTGAGCAAGATATCTCTCACAAGCTCCTTTAGAAATGGATGGGGCCCTGGCCAATTGTGGCGAAACATGACGACTTTCCCGAACGACGATCATAAGACCCACCCTCTATAGACGGTTTTCAAGAGGTTGGCGACATCATCTCCTAGCGACGCTACGACAATAGGCCGACAGAGTGCTTGGTAAATTTCTCTTACTGTAGCCATAAGGTTGACCGTTGGTTGACCCGTGCGGAACTTCAGGCAACAGCGCCCGATGTTCTCACTTGCTACAAATGCAAGTTACAAGGCAAGCCGGTACCTTCGGCTCCACATCGTACTTGCGTCAAGGTTCCACCTTCGGATCGTCAACTTCGCCCTCGACCCGGCTTGACTTCATACGGAGGGGGGCGCGTTACATGCTGAGCCTGCACCCCATTTCAAGGGCCCGACAGTTGTTGAGGGGCGCCCAGGCCGCGTGTCCATCTGACATGCACCCTGGAGGCCCACGGCGGCCCTTAGGCCGCAGGTTTCGTTTTCAGGCAGCATTTATTTATTTACTTACTTATTTGCTGTCCTATGTTTGTCTGTGCAGACGTCGTTTTGG